GCGGGGGCGGGACTTCCGGCGCGTCCCCATTGGCCGCGGCGCGTCACGTGTCCTGCGAAGCTGGCGCCGGGCCTCGGTGCGCGCGGTCTTCCCTGGGAGCGCTGCCCGGGCTTCCCGATCGGGAAGCGCCCAGGAGCCCCGGCGAGGCAGCAGCTAGTGTTCAGCCGCTGCCTGACGGTCATCTGTCCGACAGGAGCGCTGCAGCAAGTCCAGGCACTGCGTCCTTACAGACGACCACCTGTGGTGTCACGGGGGACGGGGCGGGGTGGGGGCGCAGTGAGTCGGAAGGGACTGGGGCACCTGGCCGCAAAACCAGCTGCGGACCCACCCTGGCCCCTTCCGGAGCCCTGGTGGACCGCGGTTAAGCGCTGTAAACGGAAAAGCGGGCTTGAGCCCGACGCGGGAGAAAAGACAGTCTGTTCTCATCAAGATCCGCGAGCCGGGTGTGCAGAAGCACGGCACACGGCGGGGCCTGCGCCATGCTGACCGTGTTAGGTTCGAGCCCACGGCTGCACCACCGTGTCCGCCCACGTCCTGGAGGGCCCTCCTGCTTTCCCTGCCCCTCCAGTTAGCGAGCAGGATGCGCTCCTCCGGGGGCTGGTCTCTGCTGACAGCACGTGCAAAGCACGCGAGGCCAGTCTCGCCACCTGAGTGGCGGCCCAGGGCACCCCGGGACAGGGGCCGCTGAGTCGGAATGAACTTGGAAGGTCAGCAAGACTCAGAAACCCCCAGACACCCATCCTCCCTTTCGGACGCCTGGGAGCCCCGAGGTGGGAGATGTGAGGGCAGCTCGGGAAGAGCCCCCCCCAGGCCCCTCCTCAAACTCGGCCCCCACAGAATAACCGCATTCCCTTAAAACTCGCCTCTCCACTCGTGTTAGGCCAGGTTGACTAGAGAAATAAATCCAGTGACACGTTTTGTATCAAGAACTAATTACGCATCAATAAAGCATTCCAGCCCTGTCCGGGTCAAGTCCACAAGTCCCATTCTAGTGCTGAAGTCCCTGCTGAGACTCACGCAGCCACATGCAACGATGCCGAATGCAGGAAGATCACAGGCAAGCAGGGACAGTCTTGTGGATCCGCTGGCGGTGGACGCATCTCCAGGCTCAGCGACAGGAAGGTGAAGGCAGAGATAGAGGGGAAGTTCCCAGGACCCTCCTTATGAAGAAGCCACGCCCACAAAGACGGGCCATCAGACTGACCTGATTGACAGGTAGACTCCACCCCACCCTTCAAGTACACAGGGAATTCGGTTCCACCCACACCACTCGGGAGAATGAGGTCTCTTTCGTTTACGCTGACACGTTAAGAGCAGTCTGTTAATGCAATGCAATCATCGTGAGCGACAGCAAGGCGACCTTTTCTAATAAGCAAAAGTAAGATGTGCAGGGCCTGGCTGATGTGGCCGCCATCCGAGTGCCCAGAGAAATGGGCAGAGCCCCGGTGTCAGCGTCTTCACATCTTCACCGTGGGCTGCCCGCCCGAGCCCGAAGGAGGCGGTGCCCGACCCCAAGCACAGGAAGCGCTGCCCTCCTGCTGCGCGCCAGACCTCTGTGCCTGAGGGTCTCGGAGCCTGATCTCTGACACGGCTCTCCAGGCCTCTCTTCCTAGTCTCAGCCTGGAAGCACGCCTGCAGCGTGGAGCGCACAGGGCCTGCGGTCGGCTCCGGAAGGGCTAGGGTTAACGAGTGGGCGGCTCTCGCGTTGAGATGGCAGCTTAACCTTGGTGCTCTGAGCTCAGGTACCCCGAGCTCTTGCTTCTCCAGGGCTGAGCAGCCTGTGATCCTTATCAGAAGAGAGGGGGTACTTAGGGTGGGATGGTCTGACCCGCCTTGATGGCAGCCAGACTTCAAGTGCATGCCGTGGCAGCCACCTGCTTGCAACCAGCACCTCACAATTGGCGTTGCTACAGGAGGGACATTGTGGGGACTTGGCGGCCTCTCCACTCTGCCAGTCTCCCTCGGGCCCCCAGACTCCTTAACATGAGTGTAGAGACGGGGGAGCTGCCCGGCGTCTCCCGGGTGCCTTTCTCTGGTTGTCAGCACAGCAGAGCTGGGTCAGTGGACACCACAGTGACCAGCAGGAAGCACTGGACCCACAGGCGAGCCTGGCGAACGCTGCCACCCGCTGCCACGCGCCCGTCACTGCAGCACAGCCTCAACTTGGCGCGACAGGGGCCGAGTGGTCAGCCGCTGGGCTCCGCGGGCAGGCACCGCGGCATCGTCTTCAGTTCTGGGAAGGGCAATGCTCTCTCAGCGTGACCCCACGGGCCACATCACAGCGGAACCAGGCTGCAGCCAGCCCACTTTTTCTTTTTTTTATACCGGGAGTTGTGTCCCCAAGTTTTAATGCTCTTTTTTTTTTTATTGCGTTGTTCAGAATACGAACACTCACCGCCATTGGATCGACTCCGACTCACAGCGACCCTGCAGGACAGGGCAGGACTGCCCCTGTGGGTTTCCCAGGCGGTCAGCCTTTTCCGGCGCCTGGTCTTTCTCCCTCGGAGAGGCCAGTAGATTTGAACTGCGGACCTTGCAGTTAGCAGCCCAACACTTAAGCCACTGTGCCTCCAGGGCTTCTTTCAGGAGCGGAGCGGGGCTTCAAGGGGTTGGTGGGAAAACCCCGCTGTTTTAATTCCCTTCCTCCACAGGGTGTTTGAAGCCCCCTCAGACACATGCCCGGTTCAGGGGTGCTCACCGACCCCACCGCCAGCGTGCTGTAAATATTTTCGGTTGCTCTGGCATCGTAGGGGCCACACAGTGAGCCGCTCACCGCAAGGCCAGCAGTTCGAACCCCCCAGCTGCTCTGCGAGCGAAGGCGAGGCTGTCTGCGCCCATAAAGGCTTGTTCAGAGTCTCAGAAACCCCAAAGGGTCGTTGTACTCGGTTCTCCTCCGTGGCAGCGAGTTTGGACCCGGTTTTCTGAGGTCCCGATGCAGCGAGGAGCCATCAGCACCTGCCCTGTCAGACGGCGCAGCGGACACGCGAGGGCGCTGCGGACACGCGATGGCGCAGCGGACACGCGAGGGCGCGCCCCGGAGCCTGCAGTGCCGCCGCACCGGGGGAGGGGCTCCCCGTGGGGGCGCTCGGAGCGAGGTCTGCAAGGGCCCTGCTTTCTTGGCCCCCAAATACTGGTGATTTTAAAGATGGTCATACAGGACCGTGCCACCCGAGGGGCGCGGTCAGGGCTGAGAAGGCGGGGCCCAACGTAGGGGCGTGGCTTAGCCTGCGAGAGCAAATGGACGCTGGTGTCCAGTGGGGGCGTGGCCTGACACGGGGCGTCAGCCCTGGGGTCCCGGTCCCCCTGTAAACTTGTGCACCTGCCAGTCTCCCTGCGCTGTCCACTGCTCACTGCCGCTCTCGGGCAGCTCTCCACGGGGCGTGAGTTCCACAAACCCTCCGATGGGGATAAAGGGGGCCCTATTTCCTACCAGGGCCTTGGCCCAGGGAAGGCTGCCCGGGAGTGCGGGGCCCACAGGCGCTTGGGTGCCGACTTCCTGCCCGGCTGGACACAGCTCCTGAAGAGACAACTGCGCCTGTGTCCAGCTTGGGGTGCCCAGGACAGGTGAGGGCCAGGGCCGCCCCACCCTCACCCCCAACTGCATGGGAGGTATGTGAGTGCAGCCTCATTCCTGCCCGCCTCCCGTGTCCCCGCCCATGGCCTCAGCCCACGCCCGTCGGGGCTCCTTGACAATGCCCGGACGGAAGTCCCCGCTCCCACACCCATTTGACACCATGCCCCGGCAGGCGGATCCCAGGCAGGTGCCCACACATGCAGGTGGTTCACGTGCCTATGTGCGGTCCCAAGGCCTGCCCGCCTAGCCCATCTTCCTGGTCGCCACTGTGAGCAACTGGCTGAGGTATGGTGTGGAAAGGTGTGTGGGCGCCGGTCAGCGTACAGCGATGCAGCCAGGCGTGGTGACAGAGGTCAGGGTAGTGTGGGCATTAGTCAAGGGTGACAGGTTAGGGTGCTCCTCCTGGCCAGGTGGTGGACACCCCCTTAGGCAGATCCCCTCAGGCTCAGGGTGAAGCTGCACCGGGGGCCCCCACTCGGAGTCTGGGGGCAGGGTCCGTCTACAGGAGGGGCGGCAGCTGTGGGTCCTGGTGCTGATGGCGGCTGGACTCTGGGACCATGGTTTGGCATAGACGCCCGGCCGTGTCCTTCCCGTGGGGTGGGCCCTGGCCCTCGGAGGAGGGTCTGGCCCCTGGGGACCATCTCGCAGAGGGGGAACCAGTGTCCCTGTGCTAAGTCCCGGTTACTCAGGGGAGGCTCCCTGGGCACACAGTACCTGACCCTAGCGCCTACCACAGGGAGGACAGGCCTGGGCGCAGACTCATGTCACTGAGCTGACCACGGCCGTCCGGGCAGGCGTGGGTCACTGAGCTGACCACGGCCGTCCCGGGCAGGCCTAGGCCACTGAGCTGACCACGGCCGTCCTGGGCAGGCCTGGGTCACTGAGCTGACCACGGCCGTCCCGGGCAGGCCTAGGCCACTGAGCTGACCACGGCCGTCCTGGGCAGGCCTGGGTCACTGAGCTGACCACGGCCGTCCTGGGTCACTGGCCGTACTGAGGGCAGCGGCGGCGGGGGACGGCGTGGAGAAGCAGCTCACGCAGTCACCTTGCGCACGGGTCCACACAACAAGGACCAGCCGGAGCGCAGTACTGAATAAATAAAAATTTATCATCCATACAAACGCATGTCGTTCCTTTAAAGACCGCCAGGAAGCGAGGGCTGTGTGCAGCGGCCGGCCGGGCGGGTCAAGGACGGTGCGGGTTCCACGGAGCCCCCAGCCGCCCCCGGCCTGCCCCCCATGGTCACAGCAGCTGTGGGCTGTCCTCCGCCTCGTATTCGTACAGGTCCACGGCGCCCAGCGCGGCCGGCGCCTCCAGGAAGGGCCTGACGTCCAACTGGGGCCGCAGCTTGGGATCCACGGGGCTGAGCGCAGGCTCGTACCTGCGGCAGAGGCCGTGAGGGGCGGGGCCTTGACCAGGAATCCGCGAGGGGCGGGGCCAAGCCATGTCCAGCACCCACCCCGGTCCCACTCCAGGACAACCCGCAGCTCTGGGCGTCACTGTCCCCAGGCCCTGCACGCACAGCCGTCCTCTCCACGTGGACGGCTCAAACCCGCCTTCACGAGTCCCTGCGGGGGCCCAGGTGTCAGCGAAACGAGGTTCCAATTGGACAGAGTTGGGGTGCAGGAAGGCACTTCACCCATGAAGCACCAAGCGGGCACCCTGGTTCCACAGAGATGCCACCTGCCCGCGGGTGTGGAGGCCCCAGCTCCTGTGGCCTCCACACCCCGATAAAGCTGCTGTGGGCCGTCGGCCACGACCAGCCCAGCGCGGGGTGGGGGCGTTATGTGCGGGTCAGTATCGACTCATGGGGACCACCCCCTGCTCAGCAGGAGGGAACCCCGCCAGGCCCAGCGTTGTCCTCACAGCTGCTCTTGTGCAGGGACACTGTGTCCACGCGTCTCAGGGCGTCCTTCCGCAGCGCGGGGCCACTGACCACGTGCGCGTGCTCCCAGGCTTTGAGCCAGGGCCGGCGCATGAACCTCCCTCGCGGAGGTCCCGACTGAGGGCCCCCGTCGGTGGACCCTGCCCTCGGTGACCGCGGGCGCGCCGGCTGGTTCTGAGACCCCGAGACCCGGTGGTCCCTGCGCTGCAGGTCTGACGCTACCCTTCCTCCCCAGGGAACCGCTTCGGGGTCCTGCGCCTCCGGCCTCGGCGCAGCCTCGGGCTGGAGGCCTCCCAGTGGGCCAGACCCGCATCTGCAGCGCCCGCACAGCGGCCGCTGCAGGCGGAACCCGGAAGCGCTCCTTACCCGTCGTTCCAGGGGTCCCCCGCGGCCTCCTCGGCCACCAGGAGGTCGTACTCCTCGGCGGCGTAGCGCTCCCAGTCTGAGCCCTCGGCGCCGTCGCCCTCGCCGTCCTGCACGAGACGGCCACTCAGCGCCGGGGCCGGACCCTCCCCGGGGCCCCGCCCGCCCGTGGAGGGCACGCACCCTGAGCAGCGACACCTGCTCCTTCTGCTCGCGGTCCAGGTACTTCTCCACGTTGAAGAAGGTGTCGAAGAACACGCCGGCCATCTTGCACCGCTTCAGGTCCTGCAGCGTGATCCTCCCTGCGGAGACGGGCGCTGGAGCCGAGGGTCGCTCGCGGACGCGCTCCGACGGGCGGAGGACTCGCGGTTCCGCGCAGCCGCCCACTCGCCCAC